TGAGTCCTAAGAGCCAAAACGTAATGTCATAAGAAAAAGAATCACTCCTCAAGGATTTTTTGCTCTCGCAGAAAAAAAAAACCGCGCAGATTGCATGAGGGAAAAAAGAATCAAGCAAGGTAGAATTGATGAGATTGTCACAGACTATTTCAAGCATTTTTCAGGCTAAATTATTTCTTAAATGCACACAGCAAAATCTGTTTTGTGTTGCGACGTTTATGCGACCTACAGAATAAGAGATTAAGGCGGTGGCCCAAATCAATAATCTTTGCCTGACAACTGGTAACATTTGAAAATGTATATAATGTCCATAAGGAAACACCCCGCGATGTTAAAGTTATCTTAGCTTTATGGTTTATATTTTACCAGTTTATTTTTTACTTCGTCGGTCGAGTCTATTTGTCTCTTTTTCAAGCTACCCACAAAATATAGATTCACCTTTATTCAGACCTGGGAGAAATAGGCTTTGTTCGACATATCAATATCCGTCTAATATGGCTCCGAGGCCTTCAGGACAAACTACCATATTTGGTGTTGTTTTCTTTGTATCCAAGTCTCTTTTGGGAATTGAGAGACAAAAGAAACTAAAAAAAAAATTAACAATTTTGACCCGAAAGACTCGGAGCAATGTTAGAATGTTGATATATCGAACGTGGCCCATTGCCCGGGCTGAATTTGAACGTTTATAACTTTTTCAATATTTCAGTAACAGCTGACAAACTTTAACTTGCGGGCGTATCTGAAATTTATCAGCAAGGAATCTGGTTTGACATATCCTGATATTTTTATGGCAACACTATTTTGAGCAGATATGCTTTTCAAATTTAGAACTTTCTTGTTTTTATTGGCAGAATTGAATTTATGCAGTTATTTTTAACATATTTGTATTGATTTTAACTAGTCGTGAGTGAATTTTGAAACTTTTTGAAAAGTCAGGAAATCCAAGATGGCGGATCCAAAATGGCGCCATTTAAATATCACGACGCCAGTTACCACTGTGCTATCACCTCATACCTGTTTAAACAGGTAATAGAACTTAGCTGAGCGCCTACTAATTTCCTAAAAGTGGACTGAAAATTTACCAGTTCCCAGTAAATTTAAGTTAAGGTGGCCGAACACAGTTTTGTACCCGTGTTTCAATCTCCTTTTTCTCTAAAACACTTGATCCTTTGGTCACCAAAAATGACAACACGCAAGTTAACAACACAAACTTCGGATTTTTGATAGCTAGCTTGACGTATTTGCCGTTGCCATGGCGACATGAAGAAATATAAACAGGCCTTTAAAATCGGTTTTGTTTGTTTGTAGAAAATCTAGTCGTTTGATTTTCTTTTTCATTTGCATGCAACAAGATTGTAACAATGCTCACAAGTTAGCACTATTTTAATAATAGTTTAACAGAGGATCTTTACTTATCACTTGTAGAAGTTTAACTGGAATATCTAGAATCGCCTCTGTCAATTTTCATTTTTTTTCCATATTCAGGCCAGTTACTTGTTTTCTAAAGTATTTTCGTGCTAAATTTCGTAAAATTCTAACGAGTGGTTCTCGAGAAATAGGCGTATTTCCAAGAAAGCTATTCCGCATTCAATCGCAATTTTTTGCCTCACTGCGCATGCGCTGCACTTAACTTGGTTCTTTCGGTAAAAAAGAAAAAATCTGAGAATTGCTGGGTTCTTTGCATCGTTACCTTTTCTAATATACATTTTTGATAAGAGTTAAGCCGTAAATACAGTGTGTTCAATTATGAATGAGAAAAAGCACAGATAGCGAGGGCATTGACCAAATAAAATGATCGCTGTATCGACTTCATGGTTGCTTTGTGTAATTCTTGTGCGCGCGCTAAATGGCATTAGCAAGAGCGCGCGCGGAAAATTGTGTTCGGCCACCTTAACTACTTCGCAACATTTTGCAAAGGCACTGGTTACAAGAAAGAAAAATCAGAGCACTTTCATGCTCGTCCCCAGACACCTGGCGCTGGCGTAAAGGCTGAGTGACACTGGTTAGGAGAATGGAGGGGTTTTATTGGCAACAACAGTATCAGACTATCAGCACAGCAAGACCTGAAGTCCGATCTATATTTATCAAGCCATGCGGCCAATTTCACAAAAAGTGAATCTTCAGTTCTTTTCCATTTAATCCCCTGACTACGGGCTTTTCATGATTAACCTCACCGACCAGCTTAATTTAATTTTAAAAGAGACCATTCTTCTGTCTCGGTTCAGTTTAAAGAACGTATAATCAGCAATTACGGAACTACAGTTCTGAGCCATCGCTAATTATTTGTTTCAGACAACAGAATATCACGGCTATTACGTTTGGCTAGTCTGTAGTACTCTTGCATGCAGTTTCATACTTTTAAGCATATGAACCCAAATGGCTTAATTGCCGTTACTCTGGTCGTCACTATAGTTGTTTGAAGGGGAATGGCAGGCCGGTGTTTATAAGAAATCTGTAAGCGCCATTGCAAAACTTCACTACCATGGGGCCGTAACTTGACAGTAACTGTTAGTGTCTGAACGGCGCGTATTATTATTATTATTATTATTATTATTATTATTATTGGACCTTATCATATACATAAAAAAATTACTCGATTTTAATTGGCTGAGAGCGGTGCAGTTCAAGTGTAACACTAGTGCAAATTACACATCGTAATTCTGGATTATGATTGGTTGAAAGACAATAGGAAATTTTCAAAGGCAATGATATCACGTAAAATTATAACGAAAATTTTGTCTGGAAACTTTGAAAAGTTTTCTCAAATGAGAAAAATGGTATTAAGAATGATTTTCCGGCACTTCCTTCACGCGAATTTTTTCATGTAAGTAATCATACGGTTTTTATCATTCAATTTGGAATTAATTTTACAGTTTAATTTCGATCACGGTAGGTAAGAAAGGTAGGTAAAGTCTGCATACGAGCCAAGTGGCCCATCAGGCCGGAGCTTATCCCGGTTTCTGTAGCANTGATGCTAGTCCATCGGAGGTTACTTTCCGGCAATCTGTCTGTCAGGGGCCCCCAACAATTCGCCGATACCCTTTTATTCACGAGGGTGGAGAGAGAAGCAGTGTGAGAGCAAAGTGTCTTGCCCAAGAACACAACACAATGTCCCCGGCCAGGGCTCGAACCCGGACCGCTCGATCCGGAGACGAGCGCACTAACCATGAGGCCACCGCGTCCCCCGATCACGGTAAATAATATGAAAATTTTTCTCAACTTTATCTTCAGATCTTGGTGTAAACGATCAGTCAGAGCAATGTCTGATTTACCGTTCAACGTTGCTGCCGTGTCTGTGTTAACAGCCGCGTACATCGTTATATTCCCAGTGGCGTTGAGCGCTAACATTTTGCTCATCTTCATCATTTTTAAAAGACCAACCATGAAAACAACCATCAACCATTTGCTTGCAAACATGGCTGCCGCCAATCTTCTGGTAGCTGTGTTCATCATGCCGTACGCTGTACGGTATCTGTTCGCTGCGGACGCATGGTTTGGAGGGGTGCTCGGGCAGATCTCCTGCAGGCTGGTCCACTTTGCCTATGCCATATCCATTGCGGGCTCCATTCTGAGTCTGATTGCGATTTCACTGGACCAGTTCTACGCCATTTTATTTCCCATGAAGAGGATAGTGGTTATAAGAAATACCAGATTTATCACAATGGCCATTTGGATATCATCTGTTATTTTCATGACACCATACTTGGCCATGTACGGGGTAAGAGAAATGGCTGGTCAAAAGCAGTGCGTTTATATTGTTCTCGATCGCATTATAATGGAAATCCACTTTTCTTTCATGTTCGTTTTCTTGTACGCCTTTCCTCTTATTCTCATGGGGACATTGTACATTCTAATTGGACGGAAGCTGTGGTTTCGAACTATTCCAGGCAACATCCATAGTATTCACAGACAGGCGGCTGAGCTGTCAAAACGTCGCGTCATCCGCATGCTCATCATCGTCATAGCAACGTTTGCACTATGTTGCCTTCCTGTTCACGTTTTTCACATGTGCGCAGCTTTCAAACCAGTACTCACGAGAAACATGGCTTCCTATTGGTCGCTGCTGATTGTGTTTATTGGACATACGAACAGCGCTCTGAATCCTTGCCTGGAAATTGCCTTAAACAGGAAGTTTAGAGGAGAATTCTTTACACTCTTGGCAACTTGCAGAACATTTTCGATGTGGCGTTTTCGTAAGAGAAGTGAACGTCGAGGATTCAGAGACTCTCAAATAAACATGCACAGAATGGAATCGGTTGAGAATATCAAAGATCGAATTGCAATGCGGAGAGGAAGACTGTATGATCTAAGCAGTCAGGGGCAGACTTTACATTCTTCTCCAATTTCTCTGGTGCAGTTTTCTTTCTACAACAATGTGGAAATTGAAAGTTAAAAACCTTTAACCCCGTTTAGACCGGACGAAGGGGAGGTGATAGAATCCACTCACGAGGACTTGAACTGTTGACAAGTTCTTCATTAATTAAAAAAAAGAAAACGTCAAACTTTGTATCTATATCTGAACAGTATCCGGAAACAATTTGATATCAAATTTTAAGTAAAAAGCTGTTAAAGCTTTATATGTAAACTAAAGGTTACCAGGTCGTCGTTTTACACGGCAAAATGTCCACACAATTTGTTATCGCGTATCATTCCTTGCATACGGTGACTGCTCCCGCAGAACGAGCGCCAGTCCAAACCGAGCTGTCCTACCGAAACGACACGATCATAGTCTTTTTCTCCGCAGCTCACAAAAATAGATAATGCTTGAGTTGCTTTGGACTCTTCTCATACTTAAATCAAGAATTCTAGGTTTAATTTGACGAGGAACAACATACTTTTGTTCAAAATAACCAATTACCAACTGCCTCCTGCCTAACAACACTCGACGAGTGACGAGAAGTTGCCAGACGCGGGCGACACATCTTTGGCACCAAATTACAAGGTTCGGGACACAAAATGTTTTACATTTTTCACTTCTTACAGTCTGAGATGATTATAGGAATGTATGTGTGCGAGCCACGATTGTTTTTGGCAAATGCGAATTGCTTTCGACACTCACGTGAATTGAAAGTTTCTGCAAAAGTAAGACGTAAAACTTCAGCATTTTTTATTCAAAAAATGGTCCAAAGAGATTTAACTAATCACAGTTAGAATTTCTTGTCGTACAATTCAAGAGTCACTTTGCCATCTGTACTTTTGGTTATTACCAAGAACTGGGCACAAAATTGCGGTGATTCTTTCTTCTGTCCAACCCAAAATGCATGCGCACAAAAAAAAAAAAAAAAAAAAACTTGCCGACAATGAAGAAGTGAAGCAATTAATACAGCCCGCCATTTTCTTATTTTTCAATTTTTTTTTTATAAATTTCCTTAATTAATTTCAGTACAAATTAGGCTGTCATTACTACAGCAACAATTACGTAAGTTATTTGTAATCGACTTTGAACCTGTCATATAAACATGACATTATCTCATATATATAACGAAACGCAACAAAGGTATACAAAAATTACTAGATGTACCATTGCCAGGACACCTATTGTTCTGTTAATTAATTCAGTTAGGTTACGGATGCCACAATTTGAAAAGAAGCATAAGACATGTTCACCTATTTAGCCTGCCAGTGGGATCTTCAATTGCCACTTCTGATCTCAGACTTTTGTTGCATACATCATACAAGCAATAGGAGTTAAACTTTGTTGATTTTCCCAAACTTGATCATGCAAGACAGTTTTTAAACAAAAATGGCGGATCCAAGATGGCGGAAAATTCTGAATTGTGCGACCTCATTTTGGCTTCATGTGATCTTTTGATTGACACGTGATTATCACTGAGGTAAACAACTTTGGATGCTTTAAACATCATGTAAATTAAATGAGACAATAGTTTTGGAGTACGTAGGGGGAGGGGGAAGGGCACAAAGAGCTACCCCGGCTCCAAAACCTTACCAAAGCCCTGACTAAACAGAAAAGTTCTTCTTGACCAGCCCTGTTGCTTATTTCCTTATTATTATTACCTACTTAGAGTTCTCCTACCGTTGTAGCAATATTTTGAGATTTCTTCCATTTGAAGGCTATTGCGTACAGCGAAACAAGTGACTTAGCACTTACACAAAGAGACATACAGCTCTTTTATAAAGTTGTACGTTCTCCAAGAACTTATCTGCAAACATTGGCCTGTCTTAAAAGCACAACCATTGCCTGTCATATGTTGAAAAAATTAAATAATACAAGCAGTATTTCATAACTATAGGATCTAAATCTTTGTGGAGTTAAATATTACAAAAAAAAGTTTGAAAAAAATTAAAGTTATCCTGATCGATGCGCAAAATTTGAAACCTCGTCGTCACGCTTCTTGTGCAAAGCGTTGTGTGACGAAGGAACTTATTTTTCCAATTGTTACGTTTGATATTTAGCTATTTTCATTTTGCTTTGGCTTGCTGTTGGGTCTCCTGATATCTTTCTCCCTTTGCCTAGCTTTTCAAGATGATGCCAAGAAAACGTGACAGTTTTCAACTTCCATCGTCACATTAGACGTTGCAATTTATTGTCTTCGGTGCATAAATTAGTGAGCAGGTTGTTCGCAAAACGATAACCCATTTCCAGGATTGTCAAGGAGATGACAAGTCTCCAGTCACTGGGCCCTTCAGTTATGATTTCACGGCTGATTTTATTAGTTTGAGTTTCCCCAACCGAAAGTTTGTCTTGTTTCTAAGCCCCGAAAGTAATCAACGAAAATATATCTGCGTTTGCAGGTTGAAAAGCAAAAATTAACTCCAATGAAAACGTGTGTCCAATCAGCCTTCCTTGAAAACTTATAGAGCTGGGACAAGTTATTCAACACCGATTAAATCGTTGATGCTAACTCGGAGTTATTAAGAGTAAATTAAGATATGAATATCTGTCGTTCAAAGCAGTTTTCACTGTTTTCATTGCTATGCTTATTTTAACTTACTTCTGGACATTGTCCCAAGTTCAAAATGTTGAAATGATTACTAATTGTTTGTAAAGTAAGCCACGCAGGCTAATTCGCATTCCACGCTAATTCTGGATTAGCCGTTCATACCGCGGGCCCCAAGCTCACAATTCAGGTTGCTAAGTAACAAACAGTATCTCCATGACAACCAACTGATGCCACGAGACCTGAAGATCTCAAACTATATCAATTTCATAACTACTTAAAGTGCAAGTGCATTTGACAGAAATAAGATTTTTTGCTTGATGGAATCTACATGAAGTCATACCGGTAATATAGAATCGGAAAAAAATGGACATCGGGTTTTTT